AGAGTAATCTTGATGAAATTAGTAATATTTGGGACAGTGAGAGCAGGGTGAATCGGTGTAGGAGTGGTAGGTGGTGGAGGAGGGTCGGTATGACCGGATGATTTCGGGGAAGAGTTGTTGTTAGAGGAATCAGAAGTGGTAGTCATGGCTGTTTCGCGGTAGTTGAAGAGAAAAAGAATGAGGGATAGAAAGGAAGAAGGTTTACGGCTGATTTTAGGGTTTGGAACAAACCAAGACTGATACCATGTAAGATAATTTAGGCCGTGCTTTTCATTCATGTGATAGTCATTTATATACACAGTACAAATATATGGTTATGATTCTAATAATCATTGGTAATCAATACTAATAATAATCTTTCTATATTTACATATCTAATAATTATAAAATAATATTAACGATAATAACAATAACAAAAGAATAAAAAACAAATTAAATCTGTAACACATGACATAGCACATATTAGTGATATTTTATTTCTCTTCAACATATAATATGATATAATAGCTTTTGAACATGCAATATGATTATCCAAATGAGACACTATGCTTGTTTCCACTCATGTGTACAATAAGTTACACTCTCAATAGCTCTGGTATTTTGTTTGATAGGTTAGCTTGAGCTACATCCCTTTTGAAAGGTCCAAGGTTTCAAAGATTATGGTTTCATGCTTTGACACATAATTTTAGGTAACACTCAAAATACTATGTCATCCTCTATTGAACGGCATTGATGATACCCTGAACATACTTGAAATCCTGAAGAATGATTGTGCTGCTGAAATATAAATGGATAGATTGTGACTCATCCGTGACTGCTACTCTCTTTTCTTGAGTCATGTATATGTTCCATTTGTTTGGTTGAAGTAAATTTTTGTGCATTTGTATAATGTTGTCGATGAGTGTGAGTATCTAGTCACGTTTAGGATAGTTTGAATTTGATTTCAAAGAGTTAGTTACATCAGTCAACAAGTTAGTTCCAACCTCCATTAAATTTTAAAAATAAGTCTTCCGCATTAACATAAACAAACTATATTTTTCTAGAATCAGAAACTCTGCAATGAATTTGCTACATATTAGCTACGATTTTAACTACCGATTAGCTATAAAATTTTATGGTTTCAAGTATGATGTTGATCTTAGCAATGTGTTATGACACGTCAGCATCTTGTCACGTTGGCACTACCACGTGGTGTGCCGCATTAGCTTCTATTAACCGCCATTGAGATAAAGGACCAAAAGTGTGGACAAAAAATATTATGAGGTTCATTCTTTAAAGAAATATTTTTTAGGAACTAAATACGAAGTTTAAGATATTTAAAGAACCAGAAACACATTGGCTATTGACTGCAAAGCTGCAAGAAACAAACACCGTAACACGTTAGCAGTCTGACGCTAAGGTACAAACTACAATCTATAAACTATATAGTAACTAAAGTATATGAGTATGACATATTTTTAGTATATCTTTCTACTCCTTCCGTCTCAAAATAAGTGTCATATTTAGAGAAAAAATTATTCCAAAATACTTGTCACTTTAGATTACCAATGCAATTTTATATTTAATCTTTCCATTGTACCCTCTAATAAATACTCTTAATTTACTTTTTTCTCACTTAAAATTAATGATAATTTGAATACACCAATAGTTCATTAGGATAATATGGTAAAATTAAAATTCCCTCTTTCATTTATTATTGTTTCTTAATCTGTATGAAATAGTTAATTGCGACAAATAATATGGGACATAGTTATATTATTTTTTCTATCTTATTCTAGTTCTACTATCTACTTTTTCTTTTTGAAAAAGTTTAATATTATTATACCCCAATTTTTTCCACTAAGATCCCTCATCATTTCATATGATCACAATGCATCAAGACCACATATTACGGTTGGTTCTCTCTTCTACTCTCTCCTATCTTTAAGTTTGCTCTTGAGGGATCACCAAGTACCCTAATTGTGTATCTTGTATATATGCGATTTATATATTACTGACCTCTAACCAAAATCCAAAAATATGTCTTATTTATTTTGTTTCTTATAGAGGACATGGCTTCTAATCAAGAAATTCAGGTGATGATTCTCCAATTAGGGTTGTGGATTGTTCAGACCAAAGATTGGTTCTCAAAGGCCTATTTTTCAGAGTTGTGATCTATAATCTTATGCACATTATCCTCAAGCTTTATTCAGCATGGTGAAGGCAAGTTTGGTTGCTGAATTCTCAAGACTCTTCGAGATAGGTTCATGTGTTTATTTCCATGTCTTCTTCGACAAGTAGTATCAGGTTCTGACGAGTGTGAACATGGTTTAATCAAGATTTCATTATCTTAAGTTTATATGTGCTTAAGAGTACCTTGGGTTGTAGAAAAAGATCAAGTTTGCAAGTTGATTCAAAGTTGGTTTGACCAAAAGTTAACATTCACAAGTTCGAGCTCAAATGATCATAACTTCTTCATTATTCAATATTTTTAAGTGATTATTTTTGCATATGGTTCCTTTTGACATCATCTTCAACTTCTTTTTACAAGTCAAGAGCTAATTATGTGTAGAAGACCATCAAAAGTTTGAGTATGTTAGAGGTTGCTTTGTGACTTTTACCTAATTGTAAGTGACTTTCTTCCAACTTTCAAGGATTATAACTCTTTCGATTTTAATCATTTTGGGGTGGTACCTTTTGCACGATATCACATATGGCGTTATCCACAAGATTGCTTCAAGGAGCGAGAGCAAATTGTGCTTAGAAGATCATGAAATTTATTAAAATATTATAGGCCATTTTTTGACTTACAATGTTCTTAACCTCTAAATTCCAATTCATGTTATAAATTTTCTAATGCCATGACATTTGCTTCAAAACCTTATTTTTTACGTTGATTTTATTCATCATCAAGACAAGAGCCATGGTACAAGATTGTTGAATTTGAAGATTCATTTATTGTTTGTTGCTTATAATACAAATCATTTGTGTTGGAGCATTAACAATTATTTAATTAAAATTGGATTTTGATCAAAGTTCTTAAGACATTTGGTTTGTCCATCATGATTACATTCTTGAAATAATGTTTAGATGGTTTACTAGGAATGTATTTCAAAGATTATTCAAGAAATTCAAGGCAATCATCAATTCTTTCAAGTCTTTTCCAAGAATTCAATAGGAATTTTTTTATTCATGAATTCAAGCTCCTAATGTCATGAGTTCATCTAGAGAAATAGTTCAATTTGCCAAGCATTATAAGCCAATATTCATTTAAGATTCATATTTCTTTTCAAACTACAAAGTACTAATTCATCAAAGGTAATTTCAAGTCCATTGTTCAAAGGAGGATTTTCTTGATTTTCAAGTGTTCTTCATTCACAGATAAATTCAAGAATAAAAAAAGACACTCGTGTTCAATGGCATAAGTTCCAAGTTCAACATTATTCCAAGTTTTCAAACATTATTCAATCCTACAATTCAAGTTTATATTGCAAATTCTACATCATTCAATTTTTAAGACTATGTTCAAAGTATGAAGTCAAGACTCTCCATCTATTTTGTTTTGATGAAGACAAAGTGATAATCAAATGAATGACAAAAGAATAGAAAAATCTTTCAAGGTCAAAATATAGAATCAAGTGTTCAAGACTCATCATGTGTGAAGGCTAGCATCAAATGTTCAAGATTTATCTTTTTGAATGCTAGAATTATGGTCTTGATTGATCTTTATAATAGAGGTACAAGCATGCAAATTATATTGATTTCTTAGTGCTCAAAATATTTTTTGTCATGCATTTGAAAATTTATTTTTCATGTTTGAACCATGTTAAATCACTTTCAAATATAATATTTTTCATGTTTGAACCATGTTAAATCACTTTTAAATATAATCTATTTACTTCGATAAATCAATAGATGCTACATATTTGGTTCAAATACTTAGACAAATTTTCAAATTTTTTTTCAATTTTTCAAACATTTTGTTTTTGGTAAATTATGGCAGTTTGACCCACGTAAACAACACTAAAAACCGTTATAATCTGCACCGGCCTTAAACGGTATTTTAATTTTAAAATTATAAAAAAAATGTTCTTCATCTGTTAATTCAAGTATCCGTTAAAATCGACTTAACAAGTCCTGTACGAATTTGAAAGAAAAAAACAGTAAATTTTCTAACACCTTTTCATGCACTTCTTCATAAAACCTTTTCATTTTAACTTGAATTTTATTCATAATATTTTTTCATGACTTCACCATGATTCATAAAGGTATTATGCTCATATAAATATATGAAATTTCAAATTACAATTCACCTCTTCCATTGAAATTAATATCATTATATTCATTCATTTTCAAAATCAAGCGTTTTGATACTTCAATTTTTATTGAGAATTTTTCTGCATGTGTTCTTCATATTATTTCAGAAAAATCCCTCTTTCATTCATAAACACTTGAGCACTATATTGTCTTTATAAATTTCTCGTTTAGAAGAGAAGATCAATCTGTTATTGATATATATTCATCAACTTTTTACTTAATATTTTTCAGATTTGGTTGTAAATTCATTGTTGTCCGAAATTGTTGGAAACAAGAGAGTAGAAAGGAAAGAATTATTTTCTTGTTCTACTTGTTTAGTGTATTCCTTTCTATCCAGGATTGTTGGAAGCAAGAGATTGAAGTGACAGGATTTTTCTCATTTCAACTTGGTTGATCCAAGAGGATTGTTTTTGGTGGTTTTATTAGTTAGAGTCCTGTATAGAAAGACTAGATTGTCTTGTCTAGAGATCTAATAATAATGAAGTCTCTTTCGTGTTGAACGGGGATTGGAGTACTCTTAGACTGTGAGGGGAACCGGGATACATCCTTGCGTTCTTTACTTTTCTGCATTTACCGTTTTCATCACAAATCATAAACCAGAAAAGAGAGAAACACGTCTAAAAACTCTTGCACCAAACAAGAAAAATAAGAACGAGTATTCTAAAACCAGATAAATTTTCAAAGTCCTACTCAATCAATAAACATCACAAACTCACCTGACCGAAGAACATAAACACCGCCAGAACTCTGACCATCTCGCTGGAACCGCGCCTGAGCCACCCTTGACCATTACCAGAAACCTCCGTCTGAACCCAGCCTAACCGGAATCCACCTTTGACCCCTAAACCTCGCCTTCCACCCTGATCGAAAAAGCTTGCCAGAAACACCGGAAACCGTGAACCTCATCTCAGACCACCCAAATCTTTCTTCTGTTTCACTTTTCTGTGTTTGGTTTTTGAACTTGGAGTTCCAAAGGTTTTGTAGATCTTGTGAAAATGGTTGAGTTTTTGAGAATCGAAGTAAGAAGAAAATTTTGAACTGAGAAATAAAGAAAAATCGAAATCTGAGTTTTCTTGCGGTGGCAGCACCACGACTTCATCACCGACCACCGCGAGTTCATCTTCGGCTGCCTCTTTTTTCTTTTCTCCATTGGTTTTCTGTTTTTGTTTTTTTTAATAAAGAATAGAAAATAAGAGATTATGATGTTTGATAATGAGGAGAGAGGAAGATTCCTTTAGGAAATTTTGAAAAAGGAGTTAAGGCTATTGTTGTCGGTAAACATAACAACATTGTCCACTGCATAAATTTTTTTCTCTCTTCATCTCCCTCACTTTGGATCCACGCCGGCTATATGAAGGATAAGTTATTCTTCCGCCACTTTTCCTCATCTGAGAAGATGATCACAAAAGTGATTATCCGCGCGTGTCCCTAATGTATTTATAGTGTACTCTCATTCTGGATCATTGATCCTACATAAATATGCTCATTGACTTGATCTGAGAGCTACAAATTTGTTTGTTTCTTAATTCATCTGAGGCTTGGTATTCATCTGAATTCATCTGAGGCATGGTATTCATTTGAGGTTTGGTATTATGCTTGCTTAGTTTTTAATCTAAAGGATGAGAATTCTACATTGACTTCTTTATGTCAAGTGTTGGCTTCTTGTTGGTTAGACATTTCCTTACCTTAGCTTTTACATTGTGTACATAGGATAGTCTCTTCATCTCCTCCCCTCTTCCGTAATTTCAAAATCTTCTCCCTCATTTTCAAAACTCTTCTTGTTTTTCAAACTTGAACCGCTTTCATAATAAACTTCGACTTAGGTCCATGCATTTTCAAAATCTTTTTCTTAATTAAATCTTTAATCAATTTAATCATACTTTGACATATTTTTTAAAATACTAAAAGTCATTAACCTCATTCAAACAATTTTGTCACTTTGACTTTTCATTTTAAAACTCTTCTCAAAGATTAGACTCTTGTTGATTCTTGTAGTGATGCAAGCTACTATATTTCTATAATATGTAGTGAAGTGAGCCATTTTACACTTAGGTGTTGAGTGATGTCTAATTGATTTTTAACCCAAGCTATGTCATCCACTTTGAGATGATGTAAATGCTCATTTCTCATAATTATTGATATTAAGTATGTTTTTCACTCGAATACGACGAGATGTCTCTTCTCTTAAAGTTAACTAACATACAAAACTTTCAAAAAATATTGAGGTGAATGAGTGCCCTAATCCTCTATTGCACGAAGGGGGTACATAGGCACAAAGGTTCACAATTGCGGTGGGTGCAAAAGTTGAAAAAACCACTTATTTTCTCATCTCCACAATCTCATTTTATAAATATTTCTTTATAGCCAAATACACATATTTTCAAAGAGGTTCATGCGGAGTACCGTAGATGTTTAGAGTGCTAATATCTTCCCTTTGCATAACTAATCCCCTTACATTGATCTCTATTTTACTTTGGGTTTATTCACTCTTTTCTCATTCCTTTGGATAAAATAAAAGTGTGGTGGAGACTTTCACTGATTTGCGAGATAATTCAATCCAATGGCTTAGTCTCAACATTTATACTGCTATAGAAAATTGACGACTTCACTGGTGATAATCTCTAAGTGGGTTGAGCCTGTCTTTGTTTATCTATGTATGTGTTATTATTTGTTGTATATGTGCCTGTTTGCCTGGACTTTTCTGGTTTTCAGGGTGCTTTGTGGTCCTTTCTAAGTCTTATACCCGGACTTGTGCAAACTTAAGATAAGATGGGCGATATAATCACTTCAACTTATATGGAGAAAGTTCTTAGTAAGTTTATTTGAAAAAACTCCCGCTCAGTGGAGGCCCATTTGGGGTAGTATTTGTTGAACGAGCAAGTTGTGAAAACATTACTACTTCGATGTGGGAGTCCGAGAAGCTGAGAGTGTAGAAACCTTAACCCATCTTGATCTTTTTAGGTGTAGTGTGGAGACTATTCAGGAGTCAATTCTGGTATAGTTGTTACGCGATACTGCACTCAGACGAGTTTTCCTGCAAATATTACTAATTACCAAGTAAATTGAAATGTTGGTAATATCTAAAGGAGGGGCGTAAACTCTGCGGTTTCTTAAAACCTTGATTTACAGGTGATTGAACCATTAGTCCATACCTTATGGGTAGTACATTTGGCTTCATGCTCGTGACGTCGAACCTATAAATCTACATGTTTGTGATCTTCTGTGTGATTGTTGCATCATACATTCTTACACCCATGAACATTGTTTTAACCAAATTTTCAAGGAACTTAAAATAACCTCTTTGTAAACATCGCATGTATTTAATTATGGATATTAGAAGAAGTAGTACCCAAAAATATAGTTTCAGCAAATTTGAGGTAGAAGAGTTAAAAAAGCTAGCATCATTAATGGTTACTCCTGAAAAGCTAGCATTCATCAATATCTTCTTTTTTTTGTTAAAATCCATCTATCTAAAACAAAATTCTTTATTTTAATGAGTTAATTGTTAGTGCGTGAGGCACTTTTAGTGAGGAGAGAAAGAGAGAATAATAAAGAAAAATAAGGATTTGTATTATTCAAGTGTACAAATAATGATACACACTATGACTATTTATATACAATCCTAATTGGGCTTGGGCTAACTCAACTTGGATTATATTAAATATTAAATCTAATCAAATCTAATCTAATCTAATTTAATATTTCAACACATCCCCATAATCCAAGTTGTCGAACATCCTCAAAAATAGTCAATCTGAACTATTCCTAATTTCTTTCTCAAATTCAGGAATATGTCGATCTTCAATCCTTTGGTGAAAATGTCGGCCAACTATGCTTCACTTCAGAAATGTCTGACTTCAAGTTCACCTTGATTTACTTTTTCCCTCAAGAAGTGAAACCTTGCTTTAATATGCTTACTTCTTCCATGCAGAACTAAATTTTTTGCCAGATTTATGGCTGACTTGTTGTCGATTTGCAATACTAGAGGTTTCTTCACTTCGACAGTCATTTCTTCAAGTACAGATCTGATCCAAATTGCTTGACATGTAGCATAGGATCCCGCTATATATTCAGCTTCACACGATGACAATTCCACCACAGGTTACTTCTTCGAACACCATGAGATTGGGGCACCAAATACTTGAAAGAAATATCCAGTTGTGCTTCTTCGATCTTCCTTATCTTCACACCAATCAACATCTGAAAAACAATTAACTATTTCTTCTTTGCCTTCAGAATCTCGTCGAAATAGTATTCCATAATTTATTGAACCCTTCAAATATCGAAGGATTCTTCTTGCAGCCTTCATATGTGACACTCTTGGTTCACCCATATATCTGCTTACTAATCCGACTGCGAAACCTATATTAGGTCGACTATTGCACACATACCTCAGAGATCCCACAATTTGCTTGAACAAAGTTGCATCGACTTTATCTTCCTCTCCATTCTTCTCCAACTTCACATTTGGTTCGACAGGTGAGGATGCAGGATTCGAATCATCCATTCTGAATCTCTTGAGTATTTCTTTGACATACTTTCTTTGATGTATCACCATACCTTGCTTCGAAATTTGAAATTCCATGCCTAGAAAATAAGACAATTTTCCTAGATCCGACATTTCAAATTCCTTCGTCATCAACTCTTTGAACTTCGACAAGTTCTCCAAACTATTTCCAGTTACTAGCAAGTCATCAACATACAAGTAGATGATTGTTATATCTTGTGCTACAACCTGAACATAGACACCATACTCTGATTTGCATTTGACAAATCCTAATTCGACTAAGTATGAGTCGATCTTCTTGTTCCATGCCCTAGGTGCCTGCTTGAGGCCATAGAGCGCTTTGTGCAATCTATATACTTTACTCGCTTCCTTCTGAATCATAAACCTAGGAGGTTGTGTGACATAAACTTCTTCGTCTAAAGGACCATTTAAAAATGTTGATTTCACATCTAGATGAAATGTTGACCAGCCTTGGTTGCATGCCAATGCTACTACTAGTCAAACAGTCTCTAATCTTGCTACTAGAGAAAATACTTCAGAGTAGTCAAGTCCTGCTCTTTGAAGAAAACCTCGAGCTACTAATCTTGCTTTATGTCTTGCTATTGACCCATCTGCATTGTGTTTCAACTTGAACACCCACTTTACTTCGATAGCTTTTGTATGTGTTGGCAATTCGACTAACTCCCATGTGTTGTTTCTTTCGATTGCCTGTAACTCTTCGACCATAGATAACTTCCACTTATTAATCTTCAAAGTTTCGCTATAGTTGATTGGTTCAGCACCTGCAAGTAAAGCAAAATGAACTAATTCTCCATCTAGTGTGATTTCATTATCACCCATCACTTCATAATCATAAAGTCTTGTTGGAAGAACTTTATTTCTTTGAGGTCTTTGGCTTGTTTCAGCCACAACCTCTTCGACTTCGACTGTGACGGGAGTGTCAGCAACCGCTTCCTCTTCGACTTCGACTGGATTCTCAACAATTCCTTCAACCTCTACTTCATTAGTTTCTTCGTCGAAATCAAAGTTCATTAATGATTTGTTAATTGAATTGCTAGAATTCCAATCCCAGGCAAAATTTTCATTAATCACAATATCTCGACTCAACACAATATTTTCATTAACTGGATTGAATAGTCTGTATGTACCAGTTTCATGATATCCTACCAGAATCATAGGTCCACTCTTGTCATCAAGCTTCCTTCTCCTTGCATCAGGAACATGCTTGTAACACATAGAGCCAAACACCTTCAAGTGACTTACTGATGGTCGTTTTCAACTCCACACTTCTTCAGGAACCTTGTTCTTCAATATCTTAGTAGGACACCTATTAAAAATATAAACTGCAGTCGAAACAGCTTCTCCCCATAAAGATTTTGGAAAATTGTTTTGCTTCAGCATGCATCTTGCCATATCTAATATGGTTCTATTTCTTCTTTCAGCAATTCCATTATGTTGAGGTGTGTAAGGAGCCGTTACCTCATGATCAATACCATGTTTTGCACAGAAATCTTTAAACATCTTGGATGTGTATTCGCCACCTCCATATGTTCATAGAACTTTGATCTTCTTCTCACTCTAGTTTTCGACAAGTATCTTGAATCTCTTAAAGATTTCAAATACTTCGTCCTTTCGTTTGATCACATAGATCCACATCTTTCGACTAAACTCATCGACAAAGGAAACAAAATATTTGTTTCCACCAATTGTATGTTCTTCAAATGGACCACATACATCTGAATTCACCACTTCGAGAATGAAGTATGATCTCATTGACATGGTCGAAACGAAAGAATTTCTGGATTGCTTTCCCACTAAACAACCTTCACAAATTTTTCCAGGCATCTCAAGACTTGGAATACAGTAACCATATCTTGAGTA